ATATGTCACACTGGACTGAAATAAACTTAATCATAAAGGTACAAAATATGTGGTAAAATACAAAGAAGTTAAAACAGTTTCAACAAAAGAAGCACAACCATTGTTTATTTAAAATTATCTATAAGAAACAATCCAGATAACTAAATATATACAAGTTACTGTTCATCAGGTAGACTAGATGTACATGTTATATTTAAAAAAATGTTATACAAAATGTATCTTTCAAAGATTTATATTTAGTATGTGAATAAATTAACTTACTTTGCAGTTGAGTTGAGTACATTTCATCAGATTGTATGTAATATAATGTTCAGAATAATTCAGAATATGAATTTATTCTTCTATGTGCCATAAAGAAACTAATAAATTCATACTCGTGCCCCTGTACTTTTGATTTTGAATATCCTGAACTAACATTCTCAAGTATTCATTTGAATAAAGGTGTTTATGATCTATTTGTTTTTCACCCATCTTGTAAAATACTCGCTTCAGAATTTCAGAGTGGCATTTTAGAACACTGAACCACCAATATACACAGCACGCTGTCATTTATCAAAACTCCCACAAAGAGCAATTTTACGAAACAAAGTTATATTTTTGGAGATTATTTTATTAATTAAAAATGGAGCGTTATGATATGAGTTAGCAAACAATCTATTGAGCATTATGCCTTCAAATGCCATAACATATGAGGGGAGTCAGTAAATAGGTCACAAATGGAAGCAGAAAAGCTGTAATGGATGTACTATGTTTTCTGTATGAGTCACTAGGTAGCAGCACAGTCCAGCTCATGATAGCCTAAGCAACAGATGAGTATGTGCAAAATCAGAGGCTGGTTTCAGTAGTCAAAATGGTGACCGTGCTTGATGACTACTACTGAAGAGCTCCCTTTTATTGTACGTTTTTTTGAGGGCAGAAGGACTCAGAGCAAAGGATATTCATAAAGAAATGTTTCATGTCTATGGTGGGAAGTGTTTGTTGTGTAAAGCGGTTCATAATTGGGGCCGCTAAAAATCACCTTTGGTGGCAAACGTTTTGCTGATGACAAGGTGTGTAAAGGGCTGAGACAACAGTCAAGAGACTTCTGTGCTCCAGGTTTTGACACACTGGTAAAGCGATGGGACAAGTGTATCAATGTTGGTGGAGGATATGTCGAGAAATAAGTGTTTCTCTCAGGTTTCAACATCACATGTTTTACGTTTTATATATTGCCTTTCCCTCAAAGTAGGTTTTACATTTGAGAGGGGGAAGTAGATTTCCCTGTTGATTATCGTTTAGGCTGATAAACGCAAGTCAGATGAGTAACTTGTTTTGTATTTGTATAATTTTGGGGTAGAACTAGTGGTTCTAGTTCTAACTATAGTAGGTTACTATAGCAGATGATGAATTCTGCAGTGTTATTGATAAATATTGTTTGCTGGATTTGAGGTTCTCACAGTAATGACTATGAGAAGTAGCATCTTCTGGGATATGCTTGACACATGTTCAACCCAGAAGGGGGAGTCAGGACATCTCTCTGAAATGTCAGTGTACTGGACTACACAGCATGACGTATCAGAAGCCAGTACTCATCAAATTTCAGTTGATTTGCATGAAGTGAACATTTTTGTCATGTCAGCATACTTTCTGGCTTTATCTGTTTGCAGGGTTTTTCGTCTTCAGTTTCCACAGTAGAATTTCGGCCTAATTATTTCTAATTAAGACCCATTCACTATAATGGAAATTAACAATATTTTGTCTACTCAGCTCCAAACATGGTTTGAGGTTCTCATGGTCCAGACTATGAATATTGCTGTCCTCTTGGATACGGGTGTAGAAACCCTGAAGATGGAGGCAGCAGGTACTTCCGAAATGTTGGTGACATTCTACTAGACCACATGGTATCACATCCCTGATAACAGTATTCATCAGAATAAAATGTGTGTCTGATCATACGCTTTACCGAGTCTCACCATAACTCTGCATAGTGATTCCTCATACAGTGATATCACAGCTAATTTATAGGCTTAGAAACATCATTGTAATCTAATAATTTATTAAGATACACTTTATGTATATTTGCAGAATTAAAATAATATGATGTATTTTCATCCTGGTATATGTATTTTAAAGATTAATCACATTATTTCACACCTAAATTTATTAGCAGTGAAAAGTAGGAATAGTTTCAATTTTACCAAGTCTGTTTTATGTATAGCAGTGGATTGAGGTTTATGTTCATGACTTTGTGAAACGAACCTGCACATAAGCATGCAACGGTGTTACTGACAGCCTTCAGTTTATCACCTATTTCTCTTAATCACATGTATGCTACAATTTTATGTTCCACTCATGAGTCAGTTTGGTATTACTAATTCTTTTGACTAGCTGTTAGATGAATCCCAACCTCACCCACTTATAAAGCATATTAATATTTAAATAAGTGAAAACGGTCTTTGGTTATTTTATTACATCAGTATAAAAATTAACAACCTGTCCAAGTAATGAACATATTTCAGGCCAGTTACACACAAAATAGTCATAGGTTGCTGGCTGGGTCCTACAGCCAGTCTGGATTCTGTGGGAAACAGAAAACTTCTTGTCCTGATTCATTGGTCATCCAGCTTATATCCTATTTGCTACACTAAATGAGCTATTTCTTGCTCCCGAGAGGCTCCAGACACATTGGAAAGAAGGCAGGCTAAAGAATTTATAAAATGGTTGTTGTATTTTTTAGAAAAAGGGAAATTGAAAAGGGACCTCTCATAGGACCTCTTGTGGCTAGATGGATCAAGTGATAAAGTAAGGGAAAGCTTTCAAAATGTGGAAGAATGTGACGGTAGTTTACCCATTAGACATAAGATGATTATCGGACTGAGATGGATAAACATTTAAGCATACATATTTCTTGGCTGTGACATCATACAGTATGGTAGATGGGTACTGGGGCTGCGCCATAGCTCAAGCAGTTAGTTGCCGGCTTCCCACTGCAGTGGCCCGGGTTCGATCGCGGGTCTGGTCAATTGGGATTTGTGATGGACAAAGTGGCGCTGTGGCAGGTTTTCTCCGAGTACTTAGCTTTCCCCTCCCAATCTTCATTCCACCAAATTCTCCATCATAATCACCCGGGGCAGGCTACATTAGGCCAATCAGTGGCCACCGTGCCGAGTGGATCCAGTTGGACTCCACCCCCCACTAAGCGAACATTTTAGATGGGTACTGATGTTTCGAATGAACCTGAAGATGGAGGTAGCATGTTCCTCCAACTGTCTACCATATTGTGTGGTCTCAGATTCCAGAAGACTGTACAGATATTTCATATACGGGTGCTGAATAATTGTAGCTATCTGGTGTCAAGTGTGGGAGATCACATTAATACATTTGATTCAAGTTAAGATTTCCCTGCTTAGCTTTGCTTATATATATGTAATCTTATAGAAAAATAGAGAACATTTTTCCCACTTATGCAAAAAGCTTAAAATATTTGGTCTACCCATAGATTTTAACATAGCTAGAATGGTTAGAAAGCTGTGAATATCAAGTCTTTGGTAATTTATGGCACGTAGTTCATGATAAAGAAGGCTGTAAACTTCTGTGAAAATTAACTTCACATTGAACCTAATTTTTGTGTACAGAACATAGTTCTAAAGCTCTGGAAGCGTCATTTCAACTTTGGGCATAGCACTAACCTGCTTATTATCATCACAGTCAATTTCACACCTCCAAAGACAAACACTTCACGTTTGTTCAGGATTTTCTACAATCTTTGTGCATTAAAACAAGAATATTATAACGTTTTAGGCTGTTTATTAGGCCTTTGTCCGTTAACCTAGTTTTTATAAATAACTCACAGCATTTTGGAAATGGGTTTTACTTCCTTCTTCAGATGGCTGTGGGGATAGGAAACATTTCCAGAACATTGTGATTTTTATATGAAACTTAGACTAAAGGACAAAGACCAGATAGATGTCCTAATTGTTATGTCAGACCATTGTCACATAACTTGAAAAATTAGTATAAGAATATTGTTACTAATCACATACACTCTTTCATAAGATCATTACTCGTATAGCACCAATGTTTGATTATCTGAAGTAACCTGAATATGACGTGTATGATGTACAGTGTGTACAAACATATAACAGTCTTGTATGATTAACAATATTTCAGTTTGATGTTGGACCACTGTGCTCTCTTATGAGAAGTTCGAAGCTTGATATAAACTTATATATGTGGTCATTAGGCCATGGGTAAATGTATACAAAGCAATTATCATAGTTTCTGAAGTAAAGAATAGGTAAATTAATTCCTTACAAAATTGAGAGCATCTTATTTAAAACTAAGACACTGACTGCTGCATGAGGTTATCATGGCAATGACTGTGAAGATTAGTGATTATTGGGATACAGTGATGTGACACCGTGTAGTCTGGCACATCATTACCAACCATTCGAAGGAACTTGCTGCCTCCTTGTGTAGTGTGGAAGGAGTCGGATGTGGCGTGTTCCTCTGAAATATTGTTAATGATTTGCTTCACTACCCAGCATCATATACCAGAAGCCTTAAAAGCTTACTACCATTGTGAGTTGTTGTATTATTTGTCCCATGTCTGGTATTTAAAATCGGTAGTAACCTCAATAAGAATTACAAAAAGGAAGTAACAGTTGATGACGTTTATTTTAAAGACTTGCCATTAGGGCATAAAGACAAGCGCGAGTTCCTATGACCACGTCAAATGGCGTCTCTGTCAGAATTCCATCGAACTAGTTGACTCTGACGTTGAGAGAACATTATGTTACTTGTGTGTATATGGAATCTGTATACATGAAAGTAACGTGATGTCATAGGGACGCGCCATAGCTCAAGCGGTTAGTCGCTGGCTTCCCACCGCGGCGTCCCGGGTTCGATCCCGGGTCTGGTCAAGTGGGATTTATGGTGGACAAAGTGGCGCTGGGGCAGGTTTCCTCCAAGTACTTCGGTTTCCCCTGCCAATCTTCATTCCACCAATTGTCCCACAATCACTCTCACCTATCATCTGGGGCTGGTACAATAGGCCGGAAGTGGCTGCAGTACAAGGGACTTAGTCCCACCCCACTCACAATAAAAACGTAATGCCATAGCGCCATCTATAATATAGATGGTTCTATGAGAGCACAGAAACATTGCAATTATTTATATGAATTATCCATACCCATCTGTTTTGTGTCTGAACTCTATACAAAACTTTACAAGTTCGTACAGCCAGTTCTTGAAATACATTTTGTACTGATAAATGTTTCTCCATCAATTGCAACAGCTATGTGGTTGGAGGTTGTAGTGAGGAGTCTTCTAAGAGGGCAGATTGTGTTGTGGAAGTAGGTGTTGGGGGATTACTTGACAATTCACCCTCAAGTTCAGAATCTGCAGGGGGTGGAGGGGAACCATCACCTGGTCCAGCAACACCTGCTGCTACTGACATCTCCCTTACATTGCCAGGCAGATAGTCTTTCCAACTGCGGAACAAGTAACGAGTGAACTTGCGCAGTTGGCGGAATTTGCAGTATGTAGCACCTTCTGCTGACTCTAGTTGTTGTGTTTGAATAAGAAAACCTTTCTCCTTGAATGTCTGTTCCAGTTTCTCGCGTGCCAGAGACTTCCGGGTCTTTCTTTTTCGTCTCTGCAAGCGGAGGTGCTGAGAACCTGTTCCCTGTTGGCTGTGGTCACCAGCATCCGTTCCTCCACAGTCTATTCTTTCACCACTATCACATTTCTTTTTCATTCCCTGCGGATCGGGAAACATTTCTCTTCCATCTAAAGGCTTCCGTGAAGTGTCCATCTCAGAAGAGAGTGGCAGTGACTGAGTCGAATCAGCAGTCGGTGAACCATTGCGTTTTGTGTCCACTGGAAATCCTGCTGGTGCTGACATGTATTTTTTGTGTTCATCCAGGGGGAACCCCCCAGATAAAGCACTGTCTCGTAATACATTTCCTGGTATAGCAGAAACGGCAGACATCTTATCATTTCCTGCCATTGCAGATGAAGCTGCAGCCAAAAAATGCTCAGAAGGGGATCCGCCACCAGCTCCTGCAGACTGTTGGAGAGATTCTCTTGGGAAGAATTCATATCCACGCATTGATTTATCACCCGTGCCACTGTAGTAGCGGAAATTACCTCCAGAATCCACTGATAACATCTTCTTCTCCTGCAGACTGGGTTTTGCGCCACCAGTAAATTTGAACTTACAGATGCTCACTTCTGTGGTGGGATTTGCATTGTTTTCACTTGGCATCGGAGGAATAAATATAGCTGATCGCTTCCTCTTGGCACCGGTGCTTCCGGCAGTTGGAGGGGGGTTTCCCAGAGGAGCCAGCCGTTTCATACGTGGGAATGTCAACTCTGAGGGCATCACCCCACAAGGTTTCCCAGAGTTGGGTGGGCTGAGCATTGTAGAAAAAACCTTTGGAATTATATTTTTGGGATTGGTGGGAGTTGATACCCGTTTTTGTTCTGGTTTAGGATGTGTAGTTATCATCTTAGTATTTACATGTTGTTGCAGCGGAACATTTGGCGCCGGTGTGATATGAGAGATCGGAAGTGGAGTAGTAGGGATGAATGTTTGGCCTGAGATGGGTTGTTCTGTGGGTGACATAGAAACTACAGGTATTGCTCCAAGCTTCTGGTAGTACAGGAGCTGTGACTGTAAGGCCATGGGATGAACAAAGACTCCTGTGCCTGGCCAGTATACATAGCCACCTGGCAGAGTTGTTCCTGGGACCTGGAAGTCAGGTGGTGAGGGGAATGTCAGTCCTGCTATAGTTGGAGGGAATGGATCTGCTGATCCCACTGTTCGAACCGGGGTTTGGTTTCTACTGCCATCGGGTGTACCAGCAAACTTTGGGGACTCATCACTGACTTCCAGTAACTCTTCCATGTCACTAGACGATGAATTATTGTTAGGTTCACTCTTAATGGACGCAGGAGATGTCCCTGGCCTTGTGTTGTTTGTTGTAACGGTGGAAGTGCGAGGCTCATAAAAGTTGCCATGTTTCCTCAAGAGTCTTATCTTCAGTTGATTCAGGTCCTTTACACAGAGATTCAGTGGCTCATCACTGCAAGATGCCGTAGGCGAGGGCGAGACTGGCGGCACAGGTGTGGTTCTCTTGTTCCATGCGCCACCGTAGTTCAAGTCATGCAGGCTCCCAAACAGGTTCTTTCTATTGGCATCTTGTAGTGTTGCAGCAGTAAGCCTCCTCTCCAACAGACTGCTGATGATTCTGTTCTGCACATCAGCGTGGTTGATTTGAGTACCTTCTCCCCGTAAAGACTCTATGGCCCGGCACTTGATTCCTGATGGTGTGATGGATGACACTTCAGGCTTTGCCTTTGCAGCAGGTATCACTTGTTGTGAACTTTCTTGCTGAAGTCGCCGTTTGTTGGTGCCTTGTTCCTCTGTCTCGGTTAGAATGTTGCTGTTAGGAGCTCCAGGAAATATGGTACCATAATTTTTGTAAATGAGGTGACAGATATCTGCCTTCTTTGGCTTTCTACCTCGCCTTGGCTTCATGTTGTCTAGAGTTATCTCACCCATGTAGGGCAGGTCTTGGTACTTCATCACTTTGCTCGTCGTGCAACTTGGATTGTGTTGTTGTGAAGTTGATGGAGTGGACATCCTCATGCTGTTACAATTTGCTGAAGAGGATGACATGATTACAGAAGACCGTCTCTTGATGCTGTCCAGTGGAGGGACACTTTTGCTGTCACCTGCCGACTCTGATAACAGAGATCCTAACAATCCTTTGCCTTGCTGCGCACATTTGTTCCCACTGAGATTCACCGCTGGTCTTCTCTCCTTGATGATACTGACTTCATCGTCCACACTGTGCCTCTGGAAGTCACTCTGCAGCTTTGCCATAATATCGCCTTCACCCCCACCCAGTCCTAAAGTCTGCAGAGGTATGAGTCTCAGTTGTTCTCCTGGGGTGCCGGCTGTGTTTAAGACAAGAGGAGGGGCGGTGGGGAATTGCACAGACTGGTTTTCAGGCTCGGTCTTGATAGGGAGACACTTGATAGGTGACTTGGCTGACTTCTCACCAACTGATGACCCTGTTTTGTCAGTAGATGACCTGGCACCTGATACTGTTTTCTCAGTAATGGAGGCATTCTGCTTATAACCTGTGCCCCTGTTGGCCTCATGCTGTGCCATGGAGGCCTCGTAATGATCCAGGTACTCAGGGGGGAGAGCCTGGTGATGAAACTTCAGTTTCCATCGCGATCGACGGCGACCTCTGTAGGAAAATGAGTAAATTAACAAAAACAATACCAGATTTGAGGTTATTTCAGTGCTGACTGAAGATCAGTGTCTTCAGGATAGATACTGGAAGATGGAAGCAGCAGGTTCCTCTGAAATATTTTGGTTAACATTCTGCCAGACTGCTTGGCGTCACATAACCAAAATAATCTATAAAATATGAAATTTCTTAGAGGAATGGTGGACATACTACAATGTACTCTTGACTTCATGAAGTGGAATATCAGATATGAAGCCCTCAGTTTAAAGAGTGAGGAAATGATNAAGCTGAGTTACGCCAAATTAAATTTGAAAAAAAGAAACTACTATTTATTTGATATAGAACTTATGCTGATGTTTCTAGTGATTATTTATATATTTAATATTCATGTACGATTTGTGTGTTGACGCTGTTAGTGTTTATCTTTGTATAGCTTCGAATGACTGGATGATTAGGGAATAGTGAACTGGAAGGTATGCGAAAGGAAACTGGCGTGACTGTTCATAGGGTGATAATTTTATTGAAGACTGGACCGAGCCTTCGTGTTCCCGTCCTGTCTGTTGGGCCAGGCAGAGCAGGTTGAAATTAAGACGATTGTGGTGTCCTAAAAATTGAACATTGCGGTATTCTAATTTGAGGCATTATTCCGGCATTCGCCTGGAGTGACTGGCGGGAACCAGGAAATGCTCAGAATATCCGGCTTCTGAGCCGAGATTTGAGCCCCGTACCTCCCGAATACAAAGCAAGTTTGTCACCTCAACCTCGACATTCGATGTTCAGGTGTAAGGATGTTTTTTTTTGGTTTCAGGTAGCACTGGGAAGTGAGGAGACATGACAGTCTGCGCAGTAGTACTGTATCGGCCTTCACTAAGGACCCAGAATAAGCTATAATGACCAAGTCAACCCTGGGAATCGATCCAAGGTCCATAGAGCTAGCTAATCCAGGTATTCACTAATTTAGTTCTGTTGGCGTGTATTTTTAATTGCCCTCTTTAATATAGCGTAATTTTACTTGAAGTCGTCTGTCTTCTGAGATATAAACCGGCGAGGTGAATGTAGTGCCTCCATCTTCAAGGTGGAAGAGTAAACCAAGCATGGGGCAGGGAACAGAGCTTGCAGAGATTGATTTTCACTGGACTTCACGACGTCATAACCCACTGTTCATACTCACTGTTGTGAGAATCTCCAGTTCAGTACAATCCTACTTGCTGATTTTGAAATTTTCATAGCGACGACCGAAGAGTTTAACACCTTCTGGGATATGACGTCATGTAGTGTGGTAAAAGTTTTACGGATGTTTCTTGAGAACTACTTCCATCTTCAGGGTCGAAAAGTAAGCCAAACAATCAGCAAGTAGATTAAACAATGCTTGCTGCCTGCTTGTTTACTTACTTTGCTTACTCTTCGACCCTGAAAATGGAGGCTGTTCTTCTGAAATGTCGGTAAACGCCCCTCAGGTTACATAGAATTACATCTTAGGAGACAAGAGTTCTTCGGTTAACATCGTATGTTATGATTAGCATTTAAATGGACCGTAAATTGAGGAGCTACCTGGAGGCAAGGTGTACCGAAAGTTATCTAATCTGATGCTCACCTGTTCTTCACCTTCTCTGTCGTCTGCTGCCTCTGGGGGGAACAGACCGAGGGAGAACTCACAACACTCGTGGGCGACTCTGGTAGCCTCTCCTCTGTCACAGGGCTACAACACACGAAGACAATTCAATCACATATCTTTGTTTCCTGCTGAATACGTACGTGTATATTTGTTATTAATATTTTGCTTATTACTTGAAGATAGACAGCATCGTAAAGGTTACGTGCTACCACTATGATATACTGTGTCCAAACCATCTTCAAGGTTGCGTCATCGTGACATAGATAGTTGCATAATCATTGACAAATTACTAGATTTGAACATAGTTGAGAACCAGAATCCTCATGACGGAGATGTCTCTGAAGACACAAGAGTTCTCTTCTGTAAGGCTGTTTGTTGCCTACTTAAGAAGGTATTACGTATGGTCTGAGATGTTCTGAACAAAGAATAGCAGACCTGTTTCTTGTGTGTACGGTAGCGAGAGATCCACGTACAAGATTACATGGTGTCACAGCTCAGAATCTAAACTTGTTGACATCGTACACTTAACCAGCGCGATCGACAGAAGAAATTAATTTAAGTGCGAGGAAACTCCATTTAATTATTACAAAAAATGTGATACTTCGTGTTATTCGCGTCTGTTCAGAGATCCGTTGTTGATTGTTGGGTATTATTTGCGTGTGTTCAGAGATCCGTTGTTGATTGTTGGGTATTATTCGCGTGTGTTGAAAGATCCAGTGTTGATTGTTGGGTAATGTTCGCGTATGTTCAAGGATCCTTCGTATTATTCGCGTGTGTTCAGAGATCCATTGTTGATTGTTCGGTAATGTTCGCGTGTGTTCAAGAATACTTCGTATTATTCGCGTGTGTTCGGAGATCCATTGTTGATTGTTCTTTAATCTTCGCGTATGTTGGGAAGATCATTGTTGCTTAGTGAATATATAGGTTAGGGAAGTATGTATACCGTTTATTTGTAGTCTATTTTCCCTGCTATTGAAAAATACCTAAAAGTAGGCTTGTGAGATCACCATGTTGTCTGTGTGCCCATTTGTCTATATGTGTATGTCCCCTAATAACTTTTGAAAGCCTGAACCTATCTCTATGAAACTTGGTTGTATGTCATGGAACCTGAGCCCATCTGAACGGCGAACTTATAAAACCCTCATCAATAATACCAACATTACAGTCTCTCAGATTGCTGAGGCAAAACCTTAATATTGCTTGAACGTTTGTACCAATCTTCGTGAAATGTAAATTGCAGTCATTCGCTGTGTCAGAGTCCGATAAATCCAGCTATCAATCCAAAACCCGTCTATAGTCCATCACGTGACAATATCTGACGAATTACGCTCAAGATACGCGCCGAAATGCGTGCAGATCTTAATATATAGTATCCGATGTTCCACCCACCTCTGATTTTAACTAAATTTTAATTTCTCGACAAACTACTTTATTAAAACTCTCCAGTATCAAATTTAATAACAAACTGTTGAGTGGTTCTGGGCGTGTTTCAAGCGTACGTACGGACGAAGCGATCTCAATATGAACGGTTTTAAAAATCACTAAGCGGTGAACATAATAGGCATAGAATATCGCAGATGGACAATCGAACGTTCATCCGTTGATGTAGCTTGTTCATTCAGTCTGCGCATGTCAGCTGAACCACTGCGGTGGCATTGGGCTGTGTGGAACAGGTGCTTTCAATATAAGATTCATCATACGATGACGTTTACATTTCGACTCTTTGACCCCAGAAGTTATTCAGACAGGAACTGGACGCAGCTTCAGGTCTGATTATTTCTGAGACTCGCTAATAGATTCATTTAACTCACCCCACGGAGCCAAGTCCTTGAAAGGCGAGCATTTGCTCAACCAGCCTTCTCTGAAACATGGAGGTTTAGTTCCGTGTTTACAATAGCCCGCCATTGAACTCAATCCTAAACACTAATTCCACGGAGCTGCTTGTTGCTTAGCTAGTGAAGAAATTTCCAGTCTGTTGTGAAACACGCAGTTTTATTGCCGTGTTCACAAGAGCACGTCACTGATCCAGATGAATCCAATCACTGTCCTCAGACCTTATTTCCTAAAGATCCATTTTAATATTATCCCCCAATCTGCCCTTGAAATGATCTCTTTCCTTCAGGGTTCCCAAGTAAAATTTTTGGCGCATGTCATCCTGCGTGTGCTACATGCCCTGTCCATCTCATCCTCCTGGTGCAGAGTACAAGTTACGAAGCTCCTCGTTATGCATTTGTCTCAAGCCTCCTGTCACTTCCTCCTTCATAGGTCCTGCTCCGAAACACCCTCAGTCTGTTCAGGCCGAAACCTCGGCTCCTGATGTTTACTCGCGATGTATGTCGAGCCTGTTCCAACGTTTCCGTGCACATTGCAGTCGCCATCTTCAGGGCGATTGTGATACAGGGAGAGAAAGAGGACCGTGCATAAGTCTCGCAGTGGGAATAAGGGTGGGGGTGTGAGTTGTGAAATGTAGCCAGTGTGCCTCCAATCTCTGTTCTTCCCTTAATGTGGGATCAGTAGTGAAATGGAGGTGACAGGGTTAATAGACCATGTGACCCAATGGATTGGCTCCAGAGTCTGTCTGGAAGGGAAACATTTCTGTCTGTGGTGGGAATCGAACCCAGATTCGCTGATAGTCCAGTCCGCTGATGGTAATATAATTAGACAGAATTGGGCAATAACCACGCAAGTGTGTTGCACTAACCTGTATCCATGACATTGAGTTACAAAGCTTGTGAACAGTGAAATGGACGTGGTGACTCATGAATCATCAAGCCTCGTGAATGTGAAACAGCTTGGGCGGAAACCTCGAAGCGCAGTAAGCAATTTTCTTGTCCAGTCTACTGGGAAGGGAAGAAAGTGAGGGCAAGTCTCAAAATGGCCTCTTCCATAACTGCGGATTTAAGATACACTTAAACATAGTGCAGCCTAGCTCAGCGGGTACAGGGGTTAATAAGACGCGTATCGTCTGGGATATGACGCCATGTACTCCGCTGCAAATTAACCAACGTTTTCGGAGGAATATGTTGCCTCCATCTTCAGGATCGAAAAATAAGCACGAAGCGGGTAGCAATTAGACGTCTCCGTTGACTTGAAACGGAGTACACGGCGTTATATTCCAGAACACTTCATAACCACCGGTGTGAGGACCTCAAATCCGGTACAGAGGCTAGGCTACGGTCTGGACGATCGAGTGATCAAGGTTCGACTTATGGTAGGGATAAGAGATTTCTTTCTGCTCTAGACCTCTTAGCGAACAGGGTGTTGGCGAGAATATCTGGACTGAAGAGGGATGAAGTGACAGGAGGTTGGAGAAAACTGCATAATGAGGAGCTTCATAACTTGTACTCTTCTCCAAGTATAATTAGAATGATCAAGTCAAGGAGGATGAGCTGGGCAGGGCATGTAGCACGAATGGGGAATACGAGAAATGCATATAGGATATTGGTGGGAAAGCCGGAAGGAAAGAGACCAATGGGAAGACCAAGACTTAGGTGGGTGGACAATACTGAAATGGATCTCAGAGAGATAGGATGGGGTAGTATGGATTGGATTGATCCGACTCAGGATAGGGACCAGTGGAGGTCTCTTGCGAACACGGTAATGGTTCCATGAAATGCTGGGAAATTCTTGAGTAGCTGCAGAATTGGCGGCTTCTCAAGAAGGGCTCAGCTCCACGAGTAAGTGAGACTTCCTAACCGGCTCTGGCGTCCCTCTGCTTTCCTATCCAGTGGATACCGGTGATGTTTCCCCTGTGGGAGGGGAAAGCGGCCGGGGCGTGAAACTGACCACTCACTTCATTTTGTTGCCGAAGTCAATACTGCAGCCACTCCCTAATTTGTTTTCATGGCGTGATGCTTAATTAAGCAAGGGGAGAAGTTTATCTTCACTATGGTTTCCTCAGAAGTGCATGCAGCGAAAAGCATTAGTTTATTGTGTCATATGTTGTTTGTTTTATGACGCTTTCGGATTCTGAAGTGTGTAGCGTTAAATGATAGAATGATTGATCCGTGATTTTGAAAGCAGCGACCTTAGCCTAATCGAAGTGACGTCCTCATGTTAACTGGAGGGACTGAGGAAAATGACAGGATCCTGAGTCATGATAATAGGTGTCCCTGTCGAGATTTGAAGCAAGCGCCTTCCTAGTCTAGACTGTCATCGCTACGCCAATCCACTCGCTTAGTATATAGATGTTTCATGCTAATGAGCTTATAATGGAAGCCGCCCCCCTGCTGAGATTAGTTCTACCGTACCTGATCTCGTGTGGTCCGTGCTCCACAGTATTCGGGTGTTGTTCGCCCCCTGAGGAGGCCTCCACAGACGGCAGCACCGGGCTGTCACACATCATCTGCTGCTCGTCATCGTCTTCAGCTTCCGCCTCCTCTTTCACGGTCATCGTGTTCGGAACTGATTCGTCTTCAGCAAGGGCGACTCTGGTCACAGTTGAACTGTCTTCAGTTGGCAAGTCAGTGACTGGTGACAGGTCGGCTTCCCTTTGCATAATTTCCCCTGGCACTGCACACCAAGCAACAACACATCACATAAGTTTCATCGGCCCGCAGTGTATCGAAACATGGACAGGGGGTGCATACAGGGCCACCATACTTCAGGCGAAATCACAGTTAGATGGAACAGATTGGTCTAGAGGTAGTTGTCCTGGGTTTTGTTGGGGAAGTGCCCGGATAGAACCTCGGCTTGGGCACTGTCCATCCTGGTTGAGGTTCGTATCTCATGGTTTTAATCAGCTCTTCCGGGTAAATACTGGGATAATACTTAGATTAGGCCACAAGCGGCCTCCGTAGTCTAGGGGTAACTTTAAGCCGTGGGTCCCGTGTCGTAGATTTACGGCACGTAAAAGATCCTTATGTCTGTAGGAGACCTCTGAGCCAAATTAGGCAACAATTTCCCGCTCAAGTAGATTCCAATGCCTCTGGTAGATGGGGGAAATATCAGGTACCGACGGCCGACCTCGTTGGCTGAACGGGGCTGATAGTACGCACCAGTACCGGTAGGGTATGAGGACAGTAGAAATTAAAGGANTGGCAAGAACAAAGAGTAAGTGAACATTTTAGGGGTTCACAGAATTACTGGGGGTTTGGACTTTTTCCATCGTCCGGAATTTTAGGTTGAGATTAGATGTTTCTAAGGGGCCCAACTGAGTAGGTGTCTTCCTTTCTCACCTGAAGACGGAAGCAGATCCAGTTTCCGGAACGTCGTGTCCTCTATTATCTAGAATTGCGGACTATGGAAAAAGTGCAAAACCCCAGTAATTCTGTGCGATAGTTTTAAGCGTTCTCCATACGTCACTGTATCAAGTCTTTTTCGGGATCGGACGTTAAAAGTTTACCAGAGTTTCCTTGTTAAACTATGAGATGGCTCTGACGACAGTTGTTTTGAAACTGTACTGCATTCCTTTTTCGTTTTTGCTCAATGAATGGATCCTTTTTCAATAGATAGTTTTAGAGGTGCTGAGACTTCCTTTGTATGCAAATAAATTGTGATATTCTCTGTCTGAGACATCTTTAAGAGTACGTCATACCTTGAGTAGGCAACATTATAGCAAGTGGCACGTAACTTCGAACAAGGCCAAGAGTAACCTTGAATGCGCAGAAGAAAATTTTCAGACAAGGGGGTGGGTTCGAGTGTGTGAGAAGTGACAGGCGGCCAGTTGTGCAATTTTCTTCTGCGCATTCAAGGTTACTCTTGGCCTTGTTCGAAGTTACGTGACACTTGCTATACGAAAGAATAACACTGTGTTTTCAAACGAGATCTCCCTTATACAGATTTATGTTTCCATCTTTATCGAAAACATAGAATTTAACAGCTCTCCAGTAAAGACGTAACGATACCTGATTATGACGCATTTTTTCTTTTATTGCTACTGGGGTGGGACTAAGTCCCTTGTACTGCGGCCACTTCTGGCCTATTGTACCAGCCCCAGATGATAGGTGAGGGTGATTGTGGAGCAATTGGTGGAATGAAGATTGGCAGGGGAAACCGAAGTACTCGGAGAAAACCTGCCCCAGCGTCACTTTGTCCAGGTGTCCTCAGGTGAGGGAAAACACCTGTTCTGTTGGGTCCCTTAGAAAGAGCTAGCCTCAATCACTGAGTTCGCCTACCATTTGACGCCGTATAGTGTGAGCTACAGACAGCGTCGCAAAATAATCCACTAACTTTCACTTGTATGTTACCAAGATGGCGGCAGGAAGTTCCGAAACGGAATTCTGGTGGGCTGAGTTACAAATTGAGTAGCGTTAAGAATAGTTCCGTCGGGCCCGGGGGGGGGTGAGGGACGGGCGGTTTATAGACATGCTGTTTACAACAGTGACTCAAAAGTGTTAACGGGTTTGTGTAACTGCTACGTTTTCGGTATTGGGTCACCAATGAGCGCCACAATTCGCACCCCTCTCTCTCTCTCTCTTATATATGTATATTATAAACGTGAGGTTTGTCACCGTCGTTATGAAATTTTTGGTTACCATAGCAACAAAATGTTGAGCGTTAACACGCTGAATGAACGTTAGATTGCAGTTACATCGTGAACTAGGGAGCAAGCCTTTTGTTTCAGTGTGTCGTGTCTATTCTGTGAGATTTTATAATATTTCTGATGTGGATACATCGAGTGTTGAGGATAATTGAGGAGCTATTTCAAGGAAATAGCGGCTCCGGTCTAGAAAACCGAGATTAAAGGCAGTGGGGATCCGCTGCGCTGACCACGCGACACCCTCTATCCGCTAAAGTTGGCACTAACTTCGCCGACAAGCGGCGGTAGCTCAGTCGGTATAGTTCACTTGCGGACTACAGGCCACGGAATTTGTTTTCTTTTTGTTTATACATCGAGTGTAGTGCACTATATGAAGGAGGCGGTTAACGATTGGATATTTGTGTGTATTATTCGAGGGAGATTGCGTTAAACTTTGGCCTAGACATATCACTCGATGGCATGTAAGGATGGATACACGGGAGAAAGCAGGGGAAATTGATAATACTGAAGCTTAATATGCCTACAGCGAATAATGAGACTTCCGTTGAATTTTGAACGGGTATTACACTAATTTAAATATATCCGTATCATTTCCTCTGAAGGGTTGAGATCACTCAGAAGGGCGACAAAAGGGAAGAGCGCACTAGAAAAATACACAACAAAGTAAGCGGCATAAAACCACTGAAATAGCCGCCAGAGAAGAGACAATGGAAATATTCTGCGAAAGGAAGAGATAAAAGAGACAAGGATGCGCCTAATGGCACAGAAGATAAAGTGTACAGTCTCCAAAAAAAAAGTTACCTGATGATGGTCCATGTGTGGCCGAAACATGTTGCAACAAGGAAATGCACGTATACATTTAATAACATTTTGAAGCATTTAACAAAAACTTTTGGTATATTAAATATAATTTACTGTCTTTTATGTAAGGTTATTGTTGCATTATAGGCGGTATACTTACGGTATAAAATTACATTCAGAAGAACGATATATGGTTTGTCAGATAATATTAAAATGAATCTTGAGGAAATAGAATTGAAGGGTATAGACAGGTTTCATCTAGCTAAGAATATGAACCTCTGGCGGCTTTTGTGAACACGGTAATGAACTCTGGGATTCTATAAAAGGCAGTGTGTCGCGAGCAGTTGAGCGACTGTCAGATCCTCAAGAAGGTCTCAGCTCCTTCGAGTCTGTTAATGGTTCAGTGGGGAACAAATGCGATGTGAAGCAGTGTTTATATTAGCTGCAGTCTATGTACATCCTGGGGAACTATGCTACAAGCCGGAAGGTCGCGAGATCGAATCCCGATAAGGTCATTGGATTTTTTTTTAATTTACCTAAATCTTTCAGCCGCACTATGGCCCTGGGGTCGGCTCAGCCTCTAACATAAATGAGTACCAGGAATGTTCTTGGGGGTAAAGGGCGGTCGGCGAGTAAGACTGGCAGTATCACCGCCATCTGTGAGCCGATTGCCTAGAAAAAGTGGGAACCTAAACATCTCACAACCCTATGTGCCTCCACGGCCTGTTACAGGGATAACTTTACTTCTTTTTTTTAACTATGTTAATATTAAGTAACATGGCTGTTCAGAAATTTTGTCAGCAGAGGTGATACCGATCTGTCTTGAAACGCATTCAGAATACCAAAGGTAAAAAAAGGTAAAGTTGTCCACGTGCTTAACTAATCAAACATTACTCCATGAAGGCGTATGGGGGAGTGGATGTATAGATCCACATTTTCTTGACGTCAGCACTAGCTGGAGATGAGTGGGCAACTACACGCCCCAGCCGATTTACTCCCGGGGGAAGATCCCCTGGTACCAATTACATAGGATGCTGGATGGGCCCCAGAGCCGGTCTGGACGACATGGAGAAGTGAAAATTCTTGTCCCCAACGGAACTGGAACTCCAGCTCGTAGCCAGTCGCAATACCGATTGAGCTATCTATCCCGGCTGCCGTTCAGAATACCAAGCGATCGCAAATAGAAACGTCTTTACTGCAGGGTGATACATTGTTTAAAATAGAGGTATATAGAGAAGCACGTAAACGGTCTGCAGGGTCACAAGCAAAGCAATCTAAGTGCCTACCCGAATATATGCGCGCGCACCTCATAGCTTCTCGACATCCGCGCCATCTATACTTCACTGTGAAAGAAGGGACGAGAATGTTCAATTGTTTCTACGCAAAACCACAGCCACCTCTGCTTTCCAAGGGGTTTGGGGGCGGAATATTTTCCTGGTCAAGACATTCCCCATCCTTTATAGCAGCAAAGAGTTCATTACCATGATGGGAAGAACCCGCCACTGGAGGCTGAGCCAGATAAACGCAGACCACACCCCCCCGCATATTTATTTATTTGGAATTCATTTTACTATTATATTATTATCGACAGTCAGCTCAGCCGAGTGGCCTTTTTACTTCAGATTTCTCGGCTAAAATTTTGTAGGCAATTCTCGTCTCCCCATATCCGGATTACACACGTTATGAAGCTTCCGCGTGCAAGATTTCCTCTGCGCACATATCACGTCCTGTCTCTCGTTCAGATCCAACCCCNNNNCATACATGTAAATAAGAAAGGTGACTCAACTGGTAATGCACGTGACTTGCACTTCAGAGATTCCACTTCAAATCTTGACCTGGGCATTATTACCCTGCATGAGGGTTCACGTGGGTTTCCTCAGCCCCCGAGGTAGATTCTGGGATAGTATTTCGAATTAGGCTGTGACCCTACCTTGCCACATGTTTTCCAATGCATTATTCACCCTAAACCTATCACTCCAAGCTGCCGACAGCGTCGTTAGGTAAACTGCAACTTAATACAAGTTCTTGTCTTTGTTTAGACTGGTGCCAGTACCCATAGGGGAACCAAACCAGAGGCCAAGGCCGCGCCATAGGTCAAGCGGTTAGTCTGTTCTGGTCAAGTGGGACTTGTGGTGTACAAAGTGGCGCTGGGGCAGGTTTTCTCCGAGTACTTCGGTTTTCCCTGACACCAATTCCACCAATTGCTCCACAATCACCCTCACCTATCATC